ATAGATAGATAGATAGATAGATAGATAGATAGATAGATAGATAGATAGATAGATAGATAGATAGATAGATAGATAGATAGATAGATAGATAGATAGATAGATAGATAGATAGATAGATACATAGATAGATACATAGATAGATACATACATAGATACATAGATAGATACATACATAGATACATAGATAGATACATACATAGATACATAGATACATAGATATAGATCTATATGTCTGTCTGTGTGCCGGTCTGTCTGTATGTCAATAAATATACCAATCCAATACGAGATCCAATCTAGTTGCTGTTGACTGCCATCCCACCAAAACCTCTCCACCTTTCAGCAACAAACGGCTACTCATCCCCTCATTCAACGCCCAGTCACTTGGCTCTTATGAGAAACGCATCAAAGTCTCCGAATTTATCACTGATAGGCAGATTGACATTCTGTTTATCCAGGAGACCTGGTTTCGGCTGATTGGCGATGAGGGGAAGTGCACCGATCTCGCTCCATCTGGCTATTCTGCCAGATCATTTCCCTTTTCAACTCGCGGTGGACGCCTTGCTGTTATATATATAGGGACACGTTGTCCCATCAAAGAGCTTTTGTCACAGACCTCCCATTCGTCCATACATCTTTTGAGGCAGTTCAATTTACCCTGTCAGTGCCCCAACAGAACGTTCATTTAATGTGCTTATTTCGCACCTTCCCTAGTAAGAAAAATAAATTGACCGACTCAGTGTTTCATCGAGAATTCCCAGATTTTATTGACCACTGCAACACATTGGCCGGGACTTACATTGTACTAGGTGACACGAACTTTCATTTCGATCAACCACAGCACCCTTCCACTTCTAAGAGTTGGATCTTTTGGATTTTTTCAGTCTTCAGCAATCAGTCGACCAACCGACTCATAATCGTGGACATATTCTTGATTGGGTGCTACATAGACCTCAAGATGGTTTAGTTAGATCTGCTTCAGTCACTCAGGAGCTGTCCTCTGACCACTTCTGTATTATTTGTGAGTTTAATGTAAGGGCCCCCAAACCTCTCCCTCAGTTTAGGCAGGTCCGCAATCTGCGAACTATAAACAGGGATGCCTTTAAGCATGACCTGAGTTTAGAAGTGTCCCCCACCCTCTGCCCTGCATTGGAAAAACTAGACCGTGCATTGTGCGCTGTGCTTGAACGGCACGCCCCTGTCAGCCGCCGGATTCTTAGGTTAACGCGGTCAGTTCTCTGGTATGCGACCATAAGGGAGGAACTACGCGGTGCCAAGAAAGAGCGGCGTAGTGCGGAAAAAAAGTGGTTGAGGTCAGTGGTTGTGGTTTTAAAGCAGATCTTTTCCGCTGTCAAGAAGCGTGTCACTCAGATTGTTTGTCGTGCTAAGACTTCGTATTTTAGCCAAAAGATAACAATGGGTAAAACCAGCAGGTAGTTGTTTGATGTTTGTAGCCACCTTAGAGAGAGTAACAAAGGAACTCCTCTTCCTTCAGTATTTCCTTTGCCCCAGCAACCAGATATTTTCAGTGATTTCTTTACATGCAAAGTTGCGAGCATTCGCGCTGAGCTTGATCGTTTTGATGCACCAATCTCTTGATTTGCCTCCTTTTTCCTTGTCTTACTTCACATTTCGATATTTTTAAATCTGTTTCAGAACTTGAGGTCAAAAGTATAATTTTAAAATCTAAACCTACGTCATGTTATTTGGATCTCATCCCACCTCGCTGTTGGTTGAGTCATTAGATCATTTGCTCATAACGATAACCCACATAATCAATGAAAGTTTGTCTTCTTGCACTGCTCCCCTCTTTGTAAATCAGCTGTAATCCAACCATTGCTTAAGAAGCCTGGTCTGAATGAAACTAATTTAAAAAATTATCTAACTTATCATTTTAATCTAAAGTTATTTAAAAAGTAGTTCTAAAACAATTTGTTGCTTATTTAATTGACCACTCTCTTCTCAGTTCTAATCAGTCGGCCTATAGACATTTCCACAGCACAGAGACGACTCTCTTGAGAGTGACCAATGACCTCTGGCTCGCATTGGACAGTGGTGATATCTCCATCCTGATCCTCTTAGACCTCAGTGCGGCCCTTGACACTGTTGACCATGTAATCCTTTTCAAAACTCTGGAAAATTACTTTGGAATTTCTGGCTCAGTTTTGGCTTGGTTTAGGTCCTACCTCTCTGATAGAACGCAGGCGGTCTCTGTCGATGTTTGTCTCTCAGGCAGTGCTGATTTGGTGTACTGAGTGCCATAGGTGTCCTTTTTAGGCCCGATTCTAATTACATTGTATACCAGACCACTGCTCTTCTTGCTTGGGAGGCCTGCTGTTGAGAGCCAGTCATTTGCAGATGACACGCAGCTATACTAGCATAACCATCCAGACTTTGTGGGGGTGCATTAATGATGTCAAGTCATGGATGACACTCAGCAAATTGAAGCTTAATGATGACAAAACGGAAGTACTCTTCATTCACAATCACACATTATCCTCTACCTCAACTCTTCCTACCTCATTTCAAGTAGGTAACCCCCGACATACGGTTTACACCCTCTGCTAGGAATCTTGGTTATATTCTTTCTAACAACATGTCTCTCGATAAACTAATATCTCACATTTGTCGTTTAGCATCCACCACTATCCACCAGATCAGCTCCATACGCCACTACCTCACAGTTAACGCTAGAAAAACTCTAGTCTGTACTCTTGTTCTATCTCGCCTTGACTATTGCAACTCTCTTCTGTGAGGTTAACCAAAACACTGCAAAGAAAAACTGCAGAAAGGTCAAAACTCAGCTGCTAGGCTAGTTTTAAAGGCAAAAAAACGTGATCACGTCACTGCACTACTCCATTTCCTTCATTGGCTACCTATACAGGCACGCATCGAATACAAGTTGTCTGTTCTCTGTTAGAACTTTTTCTTCGATTTCTGCCCTTCCTATCTAACCGAACTTCTTTCTGTCTATTCACCCCTTCGACAGCTTCGCTCTTCTGCAGACACGCGTATTCTGTCCGTTTCCAAGACACACACTAAAACTTATGGTGAACGATCTTTCTCTTTCTGCGCCCCAAACAATGAAATTCTTTCCCATTACACATACGCAATATACCAACCACTCAGGCCTTCAAAACTGCACTCAAAGCACATCTTTTTAAATTATACTACCCTGAGTGATTCCCCTCCTCTGTCCGATAAACGATCTTACTGGCTGGCTTCCATGGTTTGCATTGTAAAAGTTATGTGTTGAGGTGGGTGAATATAAATTTTTTTTTGCTGTTCTTTATTTCATAAATGTATTTTATTTTAATGTCATGATTATGTCTCTTTTGATAACATTTTTATGTACAGCGCAGTGAGCTATATAAGACCCCTTATTATTATTATTAATTTATCTTTTTAATATGGTTGAATTTGTACAGCGCTTCGAGCTTTTGGGGATACTAATATTATTATTATTATTATTATTATTATTATTATTATTATTATTATTATTATTATTATTATTATTATTATTATTATTATTATTATTATTATTATTATTATGCATTTGTGTTATCACGTATGGACTACTGAAATGCTCTCATGGTGGGTCTCCCAGCTACGCCCTGGATAAAATTCAAAAAGCACGGAATAATGCGGCTCGCATTGTTCTTCGCAAATGCAAACTCGACCAAGCTAAAACACTTCTGAGAGAGCTGCATTGGCTGACGTCCACGCTCGCATAGAGTACAAAATTGCAACGTTGTGCTGCCGCTGCTTACATGACCTGGCGCCATCTTATCTTAAAGCACTCATGACACCTTATGTACCCACTAGAGAGCTCCGCTCATCCGATAGTGGCAAAATATCGATACCGAGTGTTCGCCTTGAGACTTAGGGAAAGCACACTTTTTGCATTTAACGGCCCAACAATTTGGAACGCCCTTCCAGTCGCTCTCAGAATCAGCAAGACCCTGGAGTTCTTTAAAACTGAGTTAAAACACATCTTTTTCGCAAATACCTTCTGTGGCGATGCTATCTACCATCTTTTTCCAGTTAATGTATATTGGCTTGTGTTGCTTATGGTTGAAATGGGATGAAAGACATTGACTTGGTATGCTCGTATATAGCTTTATTTTGTTGAAAATTGAATTTGTTGTAAAAATAGTTTGCCTTTGATATTCATTTCTATAACTAAGCAAATGAACTTATGTTTGTTAACGGCATTGATTTTCTTAATTGGTTAAACGAGAATATAACATCTATTATTCACTTAAAAATATACACACCATATTTTCTACCCCCGATATATATTTACCTAAGAAGGTTAAGTATTTATCAAATTAATTCAGAGGCTCATCTTGTGCTGCCTTGTGCTGCCTTGTGATGCCTTATGCTGCCTTGTGATGCTTTGTACTGCCTTGTACTGTACTGCCTTGTGTCTCCCTGTGCTGCATTGTGCCTCCCTGTTCTGCCTTGTCCGCCCTGTGCTGCCTTGTGCCTCCCTGTACTGCCTTGTGCTGCCTTGTGCTGCCTTGCGCTGCCTTGTGCTGCCTTGTGCTGTCTTGTGCTGCCTTGTGCTGCCTTGTGCTGCCTTGTGCCACCTTGTGCTGCCTTGTTCCGCCTTGTGCTGCCTTGTGCCACCTTGTGCCGCCTTGTGCTGCCCTGTGCCGCCCTGTGCTGCCTTGTGCCGCCTTGTGCTGCCTTGTGCCGCCCTATGCTGCCTTGTGCTGCCTTGTGCCGCCCTATGCTGCCTTGTGCCGCCCTATGCTGCCCTGTGCCGCCTTGTGCTGCCTTGTGCCACCCTATGCTGCCTTGTGCCGCCCTATGCTGCCTTGTGCTGCCTTGTGCCACCCTATGCTGCCTTGTGCCGCCCTATGCTGCCCTGTGCCGCCTTGTGCTGCCTTGGGCCGCCCTATGCTGCCTTGTGCTGCCTTGTTCAAATGAAAGTATCATAATATTCCCCGCCCCTACCTCACAGAGTTTAAAAATTTTTTTAAAAAATCATCCACGGGACGTAACCCTCTTACTTAGGCAAAAACAATTTTTTTGCATTTCATCTGCTTTAATCTTAGTGAAAAATCCATTAATGCATGTTATTTGGCTATATAGTTTCGCTGCACTGATTGAATTAAACGGAATTTTCTTATTAAAGGTATATTGAAAATTTAAACTTTTACTTCTTTTTAAATTTCATAAAAATATATTTTTGGAACGAATACAAAATTTTAAACTTTTTATATATTAAAAATACAAAGCTAAATTTTTATTTAATTTAGCAATTTATAAAGCAATCAATTATATTTATTAATTTTACTTTTAAGAAGGGGAAAATACATTATCGGTTTTTCACGCAGAGCCATAAAATCAAAGAAACTTAGAGCCGTGGCTAAAATAGGCAATCACGCAATGATGTCTTCTGCGTATTTATTTAAATCAAAATAATTTTATTTTTATTTCACAATAGTAACAGCGCATTAAAAATAACAAATGTTTGGGTTTTCCCGTTAAAGGTGATTACGATGCAACTCTTAGATCATAATTTTTTCACGACTTTTACATATTGATAAAAGGTTTAAAATAGTTCCTTAGTTGTTATTTTAAAAGTAGGTTTAATTTATAATAATAATACTTAAACTTTGACTAAAATAAAAGCGGATATATATTTTTTTGCGCATTTTAATTTATTCGATTTCCGTAAATAATAGAAAATAACTATGATTGTTTTCAATAATCTGAATGTATCTAAATTAAATACTTTCGGTTCTTTGGCATTACGGTCAGCATAGCTAATTGTTACATATTTATCTAATAATTGATACATACATGAATGATACACTATTAAGAGAATTATATCATTTCGTTTCTAAGAAAATATAAATCATTACATTATCTAGGTTTTTTTTAAATATTATGTACAGAGTGTCAATGTTTAATGCTACAAATGATTCTAATGTACAAAAAAAATTAACACTAGGCACAAAATTGATAACACACACTACGTCAATGATGCTCATAAAAAAATGATACGCACATTGATATCTGAACCTCAACAAAGCGAAAATGTCCACTTAAACAATTTACTTGTCATATGTATATATAATATATATATGTACACATATATGTTTAATTTCTTATTATCTTTATTAATATGGCTTAAAAACAAAGATAATGTACCATTTAAAAAAATAAATAAATAAAAGTAAGCGTGATTAAAGGAAACATACATTTTACATAACATCATAAACTGGTAACGAGTTTAATTTCAATATACAAATTAGCGGAATTATAGCAAAATTTAAAAAAAAAAATTTGTATAAACACTCTTGGCAAAGACTGAAAGATATACTTAAATAGGCACATGAAACTGGTAGTAACACTCTTGGAAAAGAGTGAAAGATATACTTAAATAGGCACATGAAACTGGTATTAACACTCTTGGAAAAGAGTGAAAGATATACTTAAATAGGCACATGAAACTGGTATTAACACTCTTGGAAAAGAGTGAAAGATATACTTAAATAGGCACATGAAACTGGTATTAACACTCTTGGAAAAGAGTGAAAGATATACTTAAATAGGCACATGAAACTGGTATTAACAAATCTGGCTTAGAAACCAAACAACCAGCGCTTGTTTTTTTTTTTTAAATATTATGTACAGCCGCTGTGAACTGTGCGCGTTGATGTAAGTAAAATCATGTCATTGTAAGATAGGTCAAAAATTCTGTAAGATTCGGTGAACGTCGTTAACTTGCTTAGTCATGTACCATAAGTAGATTGATGCCACCACAGTCTCTCGCTAGTCATGTACCATAAGTAGATTGATGCCACCACAGTCTCTCGCTAGTCATGTACCATAAGTAGATTGATGCCACCACAGTCTCTCGCTAGTCATGTACCATAAGTAGATTGATGCCACCACAGTCTCTCGCTAGTCATGTACCATAAGTAGATTGATGCCACCACAGTCTCTCGCTAGTCATGTACCATAAGTAGATTGATGCCACCACAGTCTCTCGCTAGTCATGTACCATAAGTAGATTGATGCCACCACAGTCTCTCGCTAGTCATGTACCATAAGTAGATTGATGCCACCACAGTCTCTCGCGTTGTTACTTTAAAAAATAAATTCAACGATTAAATTTTAGTGGAAAATAAAATAAAAAATGGAGGAAAAATGAAATTGGGTTTTCTAACTGGACTCGCATTTAGTAGGACCAAGAGCAGCATTTGCACAACCCTGGTCTGTAATATCCTGTTCTTTACAGATGGCCTTACTCTTGTTTTGCTTTTGAACAAAAATATCACTAAAATTGCTGACACTTCCATTGCAAGCTAATTACGACACAACAAAATTAAGAAAGAAAGGAAAACCAGTATAAACATATCATAATACAAACAGTAGAACCCGGTTATGTCGACGGCCTAGGTGTTTGCCAAAAAGCGTCCAGATAACCGATGATAGACATAATCGAAAATCAATATGGCTGCAATATATTAACATGTGCTTGAAATTTCTTTATTTATATGATGTGTGTTAATAAATGCAGGTACTTCAGTAAAAAAATTAATTAATAATTTTTTTAAGGATTACAATAATTATTTAGAGCAAATTTCAAATTTAAAAAATGAAACCAGACTCAAGTTTTTAACTTTAGTACTTTTTGAGCTACGAATTTTTAAAGTGCGAGTTCGTTTGGTGTTTTCTATTATGGACCAAGCCTCCACATTGTGTGACCTCATTCTACTGAACGCGTCATGCGCAAAGACTATATAGTTTATATAAGGCAACGCATTCTCTCATTACTAATGTACTATTTAGGGACTACTTATGTTGAACTTTGAAATTTGGCAATTTAATATTTAATTAAAGCTTTCCCTGACCAATGGTTTAATAGCTTTTGCACACGGCAAAGTCTTATGAATGAAACTCTGACGTAGTACCACGGCATAGACCTTATGCAAGTGACCGCGAATGGCTGCCCATGACAACATTTTGAACACGTAAAATTGTGATCATTTATAATATGGACTCTACTGGGTTTTAAACCTAAAATTTAAACATATTTACTTCTAGGTTCATGCTAAAACACAAGTCCTGTATTTTGAGAAATGAATAATTTTTTTTTTTTAATTGTAAAAACTTTAGTTGCAGTTTCCTATTTCATCTTGCAGAGTTCAAAAGTCTGCAATAGGTCATGAGGGCGAGATAACCGATGTTAAGTGGCAAAATTGGCCAGCCCTTTGTGCTCGAGATATCAGGGTTTGGTGGCATAAAAGAATCGACATACCCGAGGAGAAAATGCTAAGACAAATAGAGAATTTTGGGGTTTCACTTCAAAAACGTCGACATAGCACGTCGAGATAAGCGGATTCAACTGTATTAAAATATATTTAAATGCTGTTGGTGTAATTTCAACATGCTTCAAAGTCCTGAAGCGCCCCTTTCCCCTGCCAGTGGCCCTAAGCCCTCCAACTCCCTCCATATTCTGACCCCGCTCTCTTACTGTCCATCCAAACAGTTCTCTTTGCCAAGGAATCTGTCGGTAGCTTCATCTTGTGTTTTGTTTCAATCACAATATTAAAATGTGTTTAAAAAGTAATAATAAAAAAATAATAATAAAGTTCATTTCAAAAACACGCTTCATCCCCAAAGGCTCGAAGCGCGGTACAAAGTCAACGAAATACAAATCTATAATTTACCACATTTAAAACAAACGCAACAGTACAACAACTAATTGCTAGCATACAATGGCAAAGTCTTTCTAGCCATTTCAACCCCAAGCAACACAGCCATTATGCAATGAAATAAATATATTTGACTTCAATTTATTTATCCTTTTAGTTAATAAGTACAAGGGTTCTTAACCTGTGGTCCACGGATCACTTGAAAAACGTGTCTGACAGTACCTTGGCAGAAACGTTTTTGTAATTTTGTCATATGCATTTATAAAGTTTTATTCTTAAAAGTTTCACTGTACTACTTATCTGACCGGGAAAGGTGTCCATGGAACAAAAAGTGTTTAGATCTCACTTTGTTCAAATTAGTGTCTCATTTATAACTATAAAACAATCACACCAATTATTTTGCTTGAATGAACTATTTATACATAGCGCTGAGTTCGTTTACGTCTCGTTGTCACATCTCATCTGCTCTAACTAGGCAGGTCGTCTTCGTTTGGTCCATCGTCTACAACTAACCCACCAGACGCAGGCCTCGTTGTGTCCTCAAGCACAGCATGATTATCTCTTTCTCGGGTTCGTCTTGCAGATGTATTGTTATTGTTATCGTTCCTCCTCGTGTGACCTGCATCGTTACCTCGTCGTTCACTACCGGCATCCTCCGCGGCGGAATTTTCTGGATTGATTCCGAACATCGTCAGCAGATGATTGGACACGGTGTAGGTGTCAATATCTGCCAGAACGCCCCTCGTGTGTTCCGCATGAGCTCTGGCGACTTCGGTTCTGTGTCTGTCGTTGTCGAACAATCGATCACTTCCATTGGGCTGTGTCCTTTCACTGTTGTCTTCATAGTGCAACCTATCTTCAGTGTGTAAGTATGGGTTGGGAATGTTATCTGCAGGAGCTGGTTTGCTGTCGCTTAGATCAAAGGGAACTGAATCTATCTTATGACGGGACCGCCATCTTGGTTGGGGAATAGAATGAAAACTCTGAGTTGATTCGTCACCCAGTTCAAGAACTAGGTCAACACAGGAGGCCTGGAAGTGTTTTGTAGGCACATCACGTGTGAGATCATCTACAGGATTTGTTGTATTTGATGAGTTGGATGGGGCCTTTTGTACATGTTTGAGAACCATGTCTTCAACGTCCCATGATTGGCAGAAGGATTCAATTTTCTCATTGAGCTGAGCTTCAAATCTAAAACAAAAAATACACACTTATATTCGACTTCTATTTGTTCACAGTAAATAGTTTGAAATATTTTCTTAAGTAACATTGCGTAATGGTTTTGCATGAATTCAAATTATACTTTCTAGAGCCAACCTTAAATTATTAAACACAGAAGACTAACGGAAAAAGTCACCTGTAGTTGGAGGTTGTGACAGTCTCAACAGCGGGACTGCTACTGAAGACATTTCTTATGATGAGAGGTATCAGTCCAGACACCAAGGTGACAAACAGGTGATTGGTAGGTGAGATGTAGTAGGTGCTCCCATAAGCCATGACCACCAGAAACACGAAGAGGAGGAAGACTCCGATTTTTGCGAATTGTAAAGTTGCCTGGTGGAACATATTGGTAAACAATTTTTAACACTGTATTTTAACAATTTTAGTATGTATCGCTATTCAATCAATCACTATAAAACTATTTACTATTCAACCACTCACTATTCAACCACTCACTATTCAACCAATCACTATTCAACCAATCAGTATTCAACCAATCACTATTCAACCAATCACTTTTCAACCAATCACTATTCAACCAATCACTATTCAACCAATCAATATTCAACCAATCAATATTCAACCAATCACTATTCAACCAATCACTTTTCAATCAATCACTATTCAACCAATCTATATTCAACCAATCACTATTCAACCAATCACTATTCAACCAATCACTATTCAACCAATCACTATTCAACCAATCACTTTTCAACCAATCACTATTCAACCAATCACTATTCAACCAATCACTATTCAACCAATCAATATTCAGCCAATCACTATTCAACCAATCACTTTTCAACCAATCACTATTCAACCAATCACTATTCAACCAATCAATATTCAACCAATCACTATTCAACCAATCACTATTTAACCAATCACTATTCAACCAATCACTATTCAACCTATCCCAATTTAACCTATCACTATTCAGTATATCCCTATTCAATCAATTACTATGAACCAATCACTCAAAGTCCACTATATTCAATCTTCAGCAAGCCTCACACCTTGCGGCGTATCGCCAAATTGACCACCCTTCCCAGTAGAATTGTTCGGAAGAAGAAGGTGCATTTTGCTCAGTGCCTTGTCTTAAACCCATATGTATAATGACACGGCCTATATCCCAAACCAGTACCAGTTGTTAACCAACAAACTTTCGTCTTATATTAACCCCCTATTACATTGATGTAGTTCTCCTCCAGCGGCCCGGGTGCCCCAGCACAGGTCATCGTGCAGCAGTGGAACAGGAACTTCTTGGACATGTAGAGCGAGTCGTCCCGGCTGAAGAACAACAGAAGTTGCTTGAGATGGAGTCGCACGTTGGAGTTTTTCAGGCTGAACAACCTCTGCTCTTCCTCACACGTCGGTAGATTAGCCACGACAGCTGAGTCCGGAAGAAATGGTTTATTGGATAAAAAGTGATACATTTTAGGGTGAAGCTAGTCCAATTGTAAACAGTAAAAATCATTATTCAGTTGTTATCTGTAAACCCATAAAAAATTAGACAGTAAATCTTGTATAACACATGGAGATATGTAGTAACAAAACTGAGCTTACAGAGATAATGTTTGTTATCATAATAAAACATCAGTGTTGTCAGTGGTATCATTTAGAACAAAATTGAATCATGAACGCAGTAACAATGAGTAAACAAGCGGTATTGAGTCAATTGGGAAACTCGAACTTCTTACATGATTTTCACAACAATAATTTAACTTTGTGAGACTCTAATCAATTAAAAAGAGTATATGCAATACGTTTTGCTACAATGAATAAATTGAAATAAAAGCTTTTTGTCAATTTTTTGCCACTTATCTGTTCATTTACAAATGAGTTCTACTATACGTGTATTTAAACAAAAAAACTGACCATCGTTTTTCGAATGGGACACCACTTCATCATCTGGGTCATATGGAATGGCTTCTGGAAATATCTTAAATACTTTGTTCTGCTGGTTCTCTATTGGTTTCAGAGCCTCACGCCGCAGATCCTCAGCCTCCTTGTTCCTAATGGTACCCAAGATGGTCCCCAAGTAGGCGTCGTACTTGATCCCCACCCTGCTGTAGGAATCCCTGATGTAGATGATCAGTATGAGCACCACCGGCACCACTCGATAAATAAGGTCCGCCTGGACGATGACCGTTACTATGACAACCACCACGGCGTTGACCAGGAAGTTTGCGCCGATGGTCATGACAATGAAGACGAAGATGGCAGTTGTGAAAAACCAGAATATCTCGCAGGCGTTGAAAAATTTAACTCTGTCTTTGCGTGTTTGCTTCAATAAGTTTGCCCGCTGTAGGATTTTCTTAACCCCTTGGATCATAACTTGGAGCATAGGGGCGTGTATGAGGAACGATAAGATGGCCACCACCGGCAAGAAACACACTGCAACAATCCAGAGGGGTATTATGAGGACGCCGCATTTCTTTATCGGGGCGCACGCAATTTTAATGTAGCTCTGAGCTCTGCCAACGCGCTTGCTAATTTTGTCTTTCTTCTCAGCGACGTCAAGTACCTCCGTGTACAGTCGACTGATGTTTTCGTCCGTTGATCCGTCGATGATGATGATGAGTACGTGGGTGACGTACATCAGAGCCAGGACTCCGACGAAGACTTTACCAAACACTGACCCGGCGTAGAAGTCGAACGGCCTCTGAAGTCCAAGAGATTCGATTTTGTCAGACAGGGTCTGGAACTCCAATCCGTCGGACGACATCGCGTACAAGAATGGACCGCTGGGGGCTGCGAGGGCCGCCATGACTAAGATAGTCCTCACTGGTCTAAACCAGGCTTTCCACTGGGGGCATTGGTGACAACAGTTATCGCCACAGGCAGGGCTCCTACAGCAATCTTGTAGGGGATCACTGTGCCGTATCTGGAAAATTAAATAATGGATCTGCTAAAGTGAAATGAGTTTTGTTGTTGTTAGACTAGCCACGGGTGCTAATAATGATTCAAATCAACATTGTTTCGTTTTTAATTTCCAAATTTGACAGTGACCTGGCTATCTTTAGATTTAAGATTTAAAAAATAAATAATCTGTCTCCTGGTTACTATAGTCATAATAGGAGACAAAACATACGAATCGGATTTTCTCATGACAAATTTTTATAAATCAAGAACAGAAATCCAATCTACTTTTTAAAAAACAAATTTATCAAAAATATAACTGTCATTTAACGTTCGCATAGTTGAAACTTAAGTTTGCAGGGGAAGTTATGATGCATTTTGCCCTGAAAATTAATTTTGTCTTAAAGAGCAAGTCAGTTAACTAACAAGGCGTGAACGCCCAATAATAGCAACATCCACAACTTTAGCGAGTAAACGTTGTCTCAGTCTCTCACCTTACAGCGTACAAATGCGTCGAACAACGCCCTCCAGACACTGACCGCTGACCCGCCCTCTGCCAGGAGTCTGTTCATACACACAGCAAAGTTCACTTTGTGCACGGTGGCAGTGTGCACAACGTCTTTAGCATACCCTGCTATGGACTTTTTGAACAGTTCCATGTGGTTCCATTGGTTGATTCTCAAAATTTGGGCTGATTTTACCTGGCTACAATGAAAACGTTTTAAAAAATTTAAGTAATGTTAATAAGCTGTTGGGTATTCATTACTTGGAAATGTATCATCAGTCCCATTGAGAAAACAGAATAGATATTAATTATTAGAGTTCGCCTTGGGCTCAGCTCCACAAGTTATGTGTTCGGTGAGTAAAATGGAAATAGTTAATACTTTAATATTCCATCAGGCTCATATGATATACATAACTATTGACATAAAGCAGTGGTCCCCAATTTTTGTTGTCGTTGCCTCCAATAATGGTCCCGGGTAAAACAAGGCTTGTGTTTCATTACTAGAGAATGGATTAGTGGTCTCAGTGAGGATTTCAAGCACAATGCTTTCAAGTGAGTGGTTATGTTATTTCCACCAAGAAGTAATGAGTCGAAATGTTGACCACCAACCCCCCTACCCCCAGAATCGTAGTTATGCTCTAAGTGACCACTGATGATTTCTTAATAAGATTAACGTATACTGCAGCTTCAGAACAGTTCAAACGCAAACGTTATTTCAAATATTTATTTAAGCGCCATTGTTCTAGATTCTAGACTCTTAAGGGTCAAACATTGTCAACATTTCTTATATGGTTAATTTTAAATGCAGTGACTTCTTTTCTGGTTTGTGGTCAGTATAAAGTTTGTCTAGCTTACCTGTATTTGTCAGGATTTCTGGTCAGTATAAAGTTTGTCTAGCTTACCTGTACTTGTCAGGATTTCTGGTTATTATAAAGTTTGTCTAACTTACCTGTACTTGTCAGGATTTCTTGTCAATATAAAGCTTGTATAGCTTACCCGTACTTTTCAGGATTTCTTGTCAATATAAAGCTTGTCTAGCTTACCTGTACTTGTCAGGATTTCTTGTCAATATAAAGCTTGTCTAGCTTACCTGTACTTGTCAGGATTTCTTGTCAATATAAAGCTTGTCTAGCTTACCTGTACTTGTCAGGATTTCTGGTCATTATAAATTTTGTCTAGCTTACCTGTGTTGGTCAGGATTGATTTCTGGTCAATATAAAGCTTGTCTAGCTTACCTGTACTTGTCAGGATTTCTTGTCAATATAAAGCTTGTCTAGCTTACCTGTACTTGTCAGGATTTCTTGTCAATATAAAGTTTGTTTAGCTTACCTGTACTTGTCAGGATTTCTTGTCAATATAAAGCTTGTCTAGCTTACCTGTATTTGTCAGGATTTCTGGTCAATATAAAGTTTGTCTAGCTTACCTGTACTTGTCAGGATTTCTTGTCAATATAAAGCTTGTCTAGCTTACCTGTACTTGTCAGGATTTCTTGTCAATATAAAGCTTGTCTAGCTTACCTGTACTTGTCAGGATTCTTGTCAATATAAAGCTTGTCTAGCTTACCTGTACTTGTCAGGATTCTTGTCAATATAAAGCTTGTCTAGCTTACCTGTACTTGTCAGGATTCTTGTCAATATAAAGCTTGTCTAGCTTACCTGTACTTGTCAGGATTCTTGTCAATATAAAGCTTGTCTAGCTTACCTGTACTTTTCAGGATTTCTGGTCAATATAAAGCTTGTCTAGCTTACCTGTACTTGTCAGTATTTCTGGTCAGTATAACATTAAACTTGAGACCCTCTGAAGCCGGTGGGTAGTAGACATACGAATATATTCTGGAAAGGATTAAAAAAATGTATATTTTCTCTGTCACTTCTTGTGAAAAATTTAGTTAGCAAAGTTAATTCATTCTTACTTGATAATATCTATATTGATTTTATCAAAGTTTTCTTCATTAAATTTTAAGCTATTAATTTAGTGCTTCCCAGGAGTTAAAATCAAAATTGTATCCCTTACGGCAACGGTTCTCAAAGTGTAGGTCGCGACCCCTTTGGGGGTTGAACGACCCTTTCACAGGGGTCGCCTTAGACCATCGGAAAACACATATATTCTCCATATTTATGTATTTATTTATTTAGGCATTTTTATATAGCGCTTACCTTAAAGCTCTAAGCGCTTTACTATTATTAAAAACATGTAAACTAAGTAAAATAAAAATGAAAAACCAGAGACACTAGGATAGTAACTACTATACTATAGAAACAATTAAAATGGCTATAAAACGAGTACACTTTGGCACGTTTTGGCCTATACTACAGGATCAACCCGAGACAGAAAATGAGGCAGGGCAAGGAGGGTGCATCACAGGTCATAGGCGGACCTAAACAGATGGGTTTTAAGGGACTTTTTAAAAGTGGACGAGGTTTCACAATGACGGATATGGAAGGGGAGCTGGTTCCAGAACGTGGGCCCATGGAAGTAGAAGGAGCGTTCACCGATGGTCTTAGTTTTGGTTCTTGGGATTGAGAGGGTTCTACTGTCAATGGAAGAGCGTAGTTGTCTTGTGGGGATGTAAGGAAGCAACAGTTCAGAGAGATAGACAGGAAAGTGAGGGTCAGTGAACGAGTTGAAGCAAAGATTGGCAGACTTGTACTTGATGCGAGAG